AAAAAAAAAAACCAACCCTAAAAATCAATTATTCAGGCAAATTTATGCTAATTATGACTTAAGAGTCCCCGAGATAGAGTGCACTATGTAAGTTACCACACTACTGTTCTAAGACATGCAGTCCTAGATAGATCAAACTTAGATGGAAGTTAGTAAAATGAACAGAGGAAAAATACAGGTGGAAAGTAAAAAGACACTTGGCAAAAGGTATTCTTACTAGCCATGTTAATCTCACATTCCCATGAACGTCCAGTGCATTGTCAGAACTGGAAGGGCAAGACAACTTCAACCACCTACACTCCTGACTTCAGTGTGTCTCCCCCGCCCAGCTTCCTCATCTAAGAGCACCAATACAACAGCCCATTTTCAGTATCAACCTGGTATGCTGAAGGTTACTTTCCAGTATTAGATCTGCATTTGCCAAATCATCATATGCATATCTCACCGTACCTTTCATTGGTGTCACCAAGACAGCTGTATCTGGGCTATTTCATTCCATTTTAAGTTTCACTGACTCATAAATAGTTTATATATAATAGAGTTAAGTCGAACTTCCTTTACCTGGAATAACTGAGTATAGCCTCTGTACAACACAGCTAACCTGCAACTTTGCCCTACTAGGTCAAGCCTTTAACTTCAAATTGGCTACAACTCTGTCAACAAATTATTGACAAATACCCTGCTAAACCTGAAGTCAAGACACAGCTCCGGAAGCATAATGGCCATGACATTTCAGCTTCTTAAGTTTTAGAAGCTGCAGTTCAGGCAAAACCGATCTTATTAAAGTTTGTAATAAAATACCTATCAGTTTCCTGACTTAAGAAGGCTGTGAATTTTTTAGAACTGCTTGTTCACTTACAATATCTATTTTGGCATGAAGAGAAGAAAGTAGCAATCCCGTGCTTTGCCTGGATTTGTTTGTTTGTTTAGTTTGTTGTTGTTTTAAAGGATTAATGTAGGGTATAAATGTTGTTCTGACTCAAGATGTTTGGAGTTCAGTTTTAGCCTCTGAGTGACAGAGTTAGCTAAAAGCACATATTTCAGAGAAGAATGAGGGTACTCTTTCATCAGCAACCAGACACATTTGCTTGCTACTGTCCTTACTAGAAGGTCAGAAGTCATAAGCAATAGCCTCTACGCTACACACAGTCATTTGCTGTGCTCTCCTAAACCATCAACCAAAGCTGATATTTAGTATTAACTGAGGACCCACCTGAAAGTGTCCAGACCCTTGAACAGAAAATATTAAGTAAACCATGCTGCTCTCCCAAAAGGCTTGATTTAGCTTTTGTTCATTACTTGGCATAGTAGACCATATACCCTTCTGTTGAGAAATATCAATGTTTTGCAAGTTGCTACTTTTCATTATAAAGTATCGAACTGGCGTATTTGGTCTTGGTGAAGGAGACTTGGAATCCTGGAAAAATTAAATTTAACAAAGTTAGAATAAAATAAACCAGACTTCAGTTCTAAAGTTTTACACACATGAAGACAGAAATCCCTTGTCTGCATTCATACACTCTTCCCCATATTCTACAAGAAACACAGAATCTATCAGCGTTTTGAAATGGTTTTGAAATGGTTTTGAAATGTATTTCACATGTATTTTACCTTTTTTAAGTACTTTCCAAAATAATAATTCATTCATGAAGGCCAGCAAACAAACACAGCAGAGCAGGCCTGAATAGTCTAGTGATTACAGTTATTTGAAGTCTGACACACCTTCAGATGACACAAAATTAATCATTCTAGACTGGAGCCCGAAGCACACTACTCACATTTCCACCTTCAGGAAACATAAGTTTTCTCCCTTTTACACTGGCTGAATTTATAAACTGAAAAGTCTTAAGAGGGATTATTAAATCCTCCAATGAGTTCGTGCCTAGAGGAACAATGGGTTTTCCGCTCAGTGTTCTGTTTAGTATTACTGCAGTTCACTATTCAAGTACATAGGGAGAATTATGCCAATAACCTCATCAAAAATGCATGCTTTGTTAACATAACCACCGTAAGAAAAGCAAGCAGTCACAGTAAGGCAGGTAAAACTAAAATCAAAGAGAAACAGTATCAGTGTATACTATTACAGAAAAAGAGGAAGGCAGAAACAGTGCATGTACTGTATATTAATTAAAAAAAACTTAATACACTTCCACTGGTTATCGTATCAAGTCTGATAAAGGAAAAAAACCTCTACTTTGGAGAGCTTTATCTCAGCAGTCTGCAAAGAATAGTATTTTTACTGTATTAAACTAGGGTAACAAGGACATCTAGTCCAGATTGTAACTTCCAGAAAGAACTAAGTATTATGCAGCTGTTAAAAATTAATATCTAAGTTAGGTTCTTAATTTACCAATATAATACCTGATAGACGCTGAAAGATATCAGCAAATTTATTCCTGAAATTCTATTAATTTTGAAGAGTGGGGTAACGTGTTTACGTGAACTCTACCTTTCCAGACACTGGAGAAGAAGGACTAGCACAGGGGCTAGGATAGCTGCTGCTGTCTGTAGACTTCACTGATGGTTGATCTGACCTGTCATCTGAAGGTTGTTTGGAGCGCAAGCTCTTTTTTCCTTTGTACCTTGGCTGGTGAGCTGCGGGAGGTGCAGGTTTCATTAAAACTCTAAAAAGTAAAGGTAGATACAGAACATACCTGGAGTTTCACAAGCAGTGACAAAACAGTTTGTACCTATATTATCAGCCTATGGCATGACTGTATGTATTACAGTAATTCCAAAACATATTAAACACTAAGAAAAAATACTAATCATGCATTGGTTTTGAATGCAAGGGCTAAATCTCTTCCGCTACTTCTTCCCAGAGACCACAGTCCAAGGACAGTATTCCTGACTGCTCTCTCAAACAGCAGGCATACACATGAAATACTCCTCAATGAAATCTCAGCTACAACAGTGTATGACAGTATCAATTCTTTTAACTGTCTTTCTACTGTTTCTTCCCTTTTATAACCAGCAGAAACTCAAGTGATGCGTTTATAGCTGAATAAATGACAGTCTACAGTTTCTGTATCTCCACAGCTTACTTTTCAGCATTAGAGGAGTCGTCAGAGAATTCAGTTTCTGCCGAGCTTTTTCGACTGTTGGCTGACCTCCATATCGATGCCAAGGGATGTTCTTCAGAAGTCATAGGTCTTGGCCTCTGACCAATACCTGAAGGCTGCTGCAAACCTGCAGAATGTTCTTCACTACTGAGAACATGAGCAATTATTTTTACAGTTGCTTCATCAGCTTCAGACCACGGTTTAGAAGGAGCTCGCATGTGACGCAGAAATAAGCTATGCCACTTCTGTCTGAGTTGCAACAACAAAACAGCAGCCTGTAATGAATTTTGATTTTGTTAAAGACTAGTAAAGATGAGATCAGACAGGTAAGGGTACCCTACCTCTTTCCTATCAGGCAGCATCTGGCATTCTAGAATGAACAGGGTCCAAACAGAGAGGCAAGACTAAAGGGCCGTGGAGGGACAGAAAATCCCACAATTAAACTAATGTACCTTTTATTCCTTAGGGTGCAAGATCATTTCTTAAACATATTATTTCATTTAGCTTTGCACAAAAGTTAGATTATATTGTAAATGCACAGGATTTTTGGTTTTCACTTTAAAATTTTATCTTTTTAAAGAGAGTCCTTTTATGCTTTATGCCCTTCCTCTCAATTCAGTCTGTATTCACGCACCCTTCATTCATACCTGAGGCAAACAAGCTCTAAGTGATGTATTTTTCTTAGGCAGACTTCTGCTCACTTAGACTATAGTCTAATTCCCATGTTATCAGAAATGCTTCCATTAAAAAAAAAAAAGCCACACTTCTGAACATCTGTAGAAGAGACAGTATTATCACCACAAATGATAAGCCCATGTGTTTCATAACCAATCCATGAACTACCCTACCTCCTACCACAGTCAGAGCTTCTCAGTGACCTGAAGACTTCTATCTTTAAAAGGTTTTATTTTTCCTAGAATCTGAGAGCAACTTTCTTTCAGAATCCCAACTTCAAGTGTTTCATTTTGGTCCAACTTCAGTCATCCTCTCAGAAAAGGAAATACACAATATGCCATGATGAGATTGTGGCTGTTCACTCAACTCCTGCTCAGGTTCTGGCTAACCCAGCCCATGCTAAGGCTCGATCTCTGCTGGGAACAGCACCATTCGGTCAAAGTAAGAGCACCGTAGGCAGGACAGGTGGCCAAAAGAGCTGACGGGCCATTATGCAGCCACTACCACCTGCAGCCATTATATCTGTCTGGCAGTTTCATCAGAACCTGCTAACTTATGGAAATGAACCAAACCTCCAACGTGGAAGGTAGAAAACAGCAGCTTGCCCAAAAAGCTTTTGAAATGGGTCCAACCGCAGCTGGACTACTGAGGCTTTCTTGCTTCCCGGTGTGATACAGAGGTGTGATACCCAAACTGTGATCGAGGAAGAAGGATGAGCACTCTCACAGTCGGCTAGATAACTAATTCTTTTTTTTCTTTTTGCTCATAGGTGCAATTGAGAGCTATGGGTTATAGGTTATGAAACCTCAGAACTTGAACAGTGAGTAAGTGAGTTAATGCAACAGACTAGTCTGCGCAAAAGGGGATTTGAGTCCCTGCTGGTTTGTTGTATTTCTTAATGAGCTCATCAAATAAAGGTTAAATTATAGAGTATGATGTCCTGTAAATTGGAGAGACCCAAATGGATTGTGACACAGTACTTACCTCAGGGTCCAGTCTGAGATGGAGCCATTCATCTAGCTCCAGCAGTGCCAAATTGGCAATTGTTTCGTCCTCCACCTCACTATCACTGCCATCATTACGCACCCTATTCCCTGAATTAAACATCAAAGATATGTTAGCATTTCCATATTACTTCCACTTACATACAAAAAAATGGACACTACAGCATTACCAGTAATAAATCCATTCTCATTCTAAATTTTATTTTAAAACATTTGTAAAACCACTTTTTATTTTCTGCAAATACACTTCAGTGAAAAGTCTTTGTTTCAGTTAGCAGAACTCAAGTATCCAGACCTGCTGAGGGTCCCGCTGAGAAAGTACCGGTACTGATGTGATCTCACTCACTCTTATACCTTCATCAGTATCAACAAGCCATTATCAAACTTTTGCCGGAAGCTGTTTGCAAAACCACATGTTACTCTATGCTTTATTTCCTAGTACAACAGCAGATTTAAAGACCCATTAAGAAAAAAACCAGATTACGTATATACATATGGGTATTAAGTAGGCTTCTAGCCTTTTTTTAAGTGTAATTCAACTAGCATAAATATTATTTTAAGAGTAAGATTTAAGGAAGAAGATAAAAAGGCCTCAAAAATAACTTGGATTCTTACTTTGATTCAAACTAGTATTTCTAGAGAACTGGCAGCAGGATACATTATTTTTGCTTCTATTCCTACAGCACTCCATTTAAATAATAAATAAAGGAAGTTTATATATATTCTGTATTACTTCTAGTTAATAGTATAGCTAGTTGTCATCTAAAGTTATCAGTAGAAACTTATCTTTAAAATGCATGTTTCTGCTAGAAGTAATATGAGTATTTGCCATATTGATAGTTTCAAGACTATTGTTCAGTTTGAATAATCTAATTCAAAGTATCAAATAAACTAGTTTGAAGAAAAGCCATATAGATTACACTTTTCAGGATGAGTATTGCCATTATACATTTTGATTGCATTTTTTATTTATTTATAGTTTATTACAAACTATACTGTAATTTCTGAGACTTCAGAACTATGTAAGTGTAATTTATGGATATGAATCTAAAAGGATTCACAAAACTGAGACATTTATTATAGAGCCTATAAGCCATTCTTGAATAGCTACAGGAAACATAGCTCTGGTTTTTTAAGAATTAGCCAAGATACGTTATCACATGCACCAACGGAAACATTCTAAATGCAAACCCAACTATACCTCGAAAGGATGAAGGTTCCTGCAAAGCATTATTTGGTAATCTAGCTGGTCCACAGAAGAGTGCCACAGTGACAGGTGTTACAACAGAACAGCATCTGATATTTGCTATCCTGTGAGCTCTCGTCATTTCATCATATATAAGCCAATTTGTAGGGAGTGCCTGAACAGCTGCAGCTTGCCCATTTGCTGGGGGAATCTGCACAAGAGCAAATAAGACTAGACTACTTTACCCTCTATTTGTAATTGAAATAAGTTTTAACACACTTCTATCTTACATATGTAGAAATAAATACATATTTATATACACATAAACTTATAAATGAAAATTTAAAAAGCAAGAGAATTCAACCAGACTCACAAGTTATCCTACCACCTTGAAACAAAGTATTTTGCTTTAAAAAGCGATCTTTAAAAAAAAAAAAAAAAATCTGTTTCAGAGCAGCAGTTTAACTTCTTCCTGCTATTATGAGCAGGGAATGTCACATCTTTAAAACACTTTCATAACTGGGTTTCATTGGGTTTTTTTAACCTTTTGTCTTGTTCCATCTAGAAGAACTAACCGAAATAAGATTTGATGAAATACTATCAGAAGATATAAACCAACTCTAACACTTTATCAGCTGCCAGGAAAAATATTTTCTAAAAATTTAGTATTTAACACACATGCTGCTTTTCAAGTACTGACAACTATAAGGAGACATTTCTAAGCATTTGATAGCCTACAGTGCTCTTTTTTGCGAACTATAAATTCACAGTGATTTTACCTTTCTATTCTGAGGTTGACTAAGAACAGAGGTAGGATGAAATCGCACTTTCTTCTCCTTTGGTCCAGTCAAAACCAGGTTTTCTCTGTCTACATGCACTAGATTGGGATACATTCCAGCCACTAAGGCAGCTTTAACTACAGCCCAGTTTTCGGAGTTACTATTAACATCTCTAATATCGGCTCCTCCTCTGGCTCTAACAAAACCTGAAGAAAGAAGACAACAAAAATGTGTTCTATTCACTTGTATTTAAGATCCATTTGTTTTGCTTCTCAAAAGGAATTTGAGGGGAAAAAAAAAACTGAAGTAAACCATAAATTTGTTACCGTTTTCACCACTGCCAACCTTAACAGCACCAAGAAGAAACTATTAAACCGACACCCTTCCTGACGAGGGGTTTCATGCCAACATAGAATAGTATTACTTTTTACAACACAAAGACATTTCCTGTGGAAATAATTTATTAGAATGTAAAAATCTAAGGAAACATCTCTCTCCCACTGAAAGCCAGTGGCATGGGGGACAATCAGGGTGCTTTCAGTTAGATCAGCGGCTCCCCAGCCACACGCCCTCACTCCAGCACCTGCGCACACACCCAGCATGATTGTGTACTGCTCTCCGTAATATTAAGGAAGGAAATCACATCAGGGAACACTATTATTGTTATAATCTGTATACACTCGACTCCAAAACCGTGTTACAATTTTTCCCAAGCTCTTTACCGGAGGCTCTAAGCTGGCCAAGCAACTGCGTTCTCATGCCTGTGATGATTTCCATGGTGGCTTGAGACAGGAAGTTCTTTTCACAGAAGGTTCTCTCCCAGCCGTCACTGCGCGCCTTCTGCCACGCCTGTAAAGAGTGGGTTTTTTTTTTTTACATTTGCCTATTAATTCGATTAGTGAAAATAAAAAAAAAAATTAAAGAGTGACATTTACATCAATAAAGCGAAGGCAAAAACCACTCTGGAATAAAGGAAATGTATCAAACCACTTTTTTTTTTTTTCCCTGAGTACTGCAACCTCTTTACCCATTCCCCAAATGACGACAGTGATCACTATGCTGAATTATTGTAAGATCATTATATTAGTTATTATAAAGATCATGATGTTACGATCATTCTTTTAAGTTATCAGTGTAGTGGGACATAAAGTGGCACCTTGTTGGAACATTCAGAATTTGACCAGGTTTGAAAATAACAACAAATAATCTGGCAAAAAGTGTTCCCTCACAAATTTACAAGTCCAATACACAGGAAAGCCACCGAAAGAAAGTTTCTTCTCCACAGATTTAACCATAGTAGTCTATCATTCAACTTGGATGTACATCCAAGTACATCCAACTTGGATGGTACATCATTTCCTTTGATACGTGATTTATTGTGATTAGTACTCTTTCTGAAGATGAAACAGTACCTGGAAAGCCCTGAGAAGCGCCATATGGTCACTAAATGTTCCTGCAGTAAAACGTTTTCTACACAGCATGGCTGCACGCTTCTGAGAGGCCACCGTAGGTAGGACAAAAGGGTCTCGATATGCAAGAGTGCAAGCAATAGTAAGGATAGGATCCAGGCACTTCAACAGAACAGCACACAACACCATTTTACCAAGGTGGGGCTCTACTGGTAACTCAGTGAGATGATAACCAAGTTCAGTCAGATCTTCCCAAGGGTCCATGGCATCTATGGTCTGTTTCAAAAAGGAAAAAAAGGGGTGGGGAGGTGGAATGGGACAAAACTAATTTACAATAAAAGCAGAAAGGATGTGAATACTGGACATTAACTAGAATTGTTCCCAAAGACTAAGCAAGCAAGCCAAACTCTTAGTTTTTTTTAAGCACTCTCTTCCCTTAGCATGGAAAAACACACATAAAATTAAAATAGACAACACAACTCAAAGCATTCTTAAGTGACTAAACAAATCTCAGTACAAACAACACTCAACAAGATATGTTGACACACCACAAATATAGAATCAAACACAATTCCCATTTAAATCTACTCCTCTGCTGACCTTGAGCATTTGCACAGCATTTCTCACAATTAAAGCTGGTGGAGGATCAGGAGCTTTCATAAGAAAGTCAACAATTGGGCAGTTAATTGGAGCCAGAAGTTTTGTGTGTAAACAAAGCTCCTGCAAGATTTAAAAAAAAAAAACTTTGTTAAGATTGGGCAGGGGACAAACCACAATTTTTTGAGTTAGTATTATGGCTTGATGATAATACATTTCTTAAGAGTTGTAATTTCTAACTGAACATGCACCTGAAGTGGCATTCTTAAAAGTTCTGGAGTCTGATATTCCAACATACTCTGAAATCGGAGCCTGCTGAAGAGATGAAAACAGACTCCAGGCTGACATCGTCCAGCCCTGGAAAACAAAGTAAGGGAAGCTGATGAAAATTAGAGTTTCTTAAAAAAAAAAAACACCAAAAAAAAATCCCCACAACACCATGAAACACACACAAACTTAGAATGCAAATGTAGCAGCAGGTATAAGAAAAAGATAATTTTGTCATTAAGTTCCACACACAGGTGAGAGTTTTCCATTACATGGATTATTTTTGAAGGTATGGAAATTTCTTCTTAAAATTTTACCCCAACACTAAAATATTTGGAAAAACAAAACCATGTTCTATCTAAAAATAAAGTGATACAGTTTTTCTGCTAACCTAAGACCAATCCAAATCTCAACTGTCCTTTGCTCAAATTCCTGCAGGTTAATGACAATATTGTATCACCAAACAGGCATTCGTTGCTACAAATATCCTCTTAACCCTCACCCAGTGTTGGGAACAGTATGATAAAGGCCTGTTAAGTCATGCATAGTTTGGAGAAGGTGAATAAGGATCCACTGCTCAATGTCTCTTCAAATATAGGGATGAAGAGGCATCAATTAAAACCTAGTCATATGCAGACCATGTGGGCATATGCCCACAGGTAAGTTGTGAAACACCTTACTGGACACTGCGATTGCTGGTGCTACATGAGAGAAAGAAGATAGAGAACAAGGCCATGGAGGAGGGAAAACAAGCTAGATCTAAAGTAAGCTTCAAAAAACTCCTGAGTGTCACTTTTCTACAACCTGGAAAACGACTTCAAGAAAACACATGCTGACCCTCATTCTTCTGCAGAGAATTAGCATTAGCCATTGTCCAACATGATCCTAGACTTGGCTAGTAACATAATCCAGTGTGGCTGCTATTATGTTGTGTGCTTTTAACATACAGAACATGGATATCTGCAAAATAAATTTCGGTATTACTTACCTGCCTTTTCTCTGGGTAGCACTGGCTTTTGAAATCCACACCATTTTTAGCATTGTAACACAACTCAGTGCATCGTAAGACTTCTAAAAGAGCAAAGCAAGAAACACAAAAACAAGACTGCATAGGGTACATGAAATACAAGTTACCAGTGATTGACACCATCATAGGAAGTTCTCTAAAAAATATAATAAATAGTAATAAGCACCAGCAGCAAAATATAATAAATAGTAATAAGCACCAGCAGCTTCTGGAACAAAGGTATGTTCTACAGTACTTAGTTTCAAATTAATTTATGCTGTCTCTTTCGCAGTATCCGTGCTACCCACTTCTCTAGTTTAAAATTTCCCAGTCAACAGGTAACTGAAGTCCATAAGAGATGTGTAATTAGGGAATGAGCATTCAACACCTCAAAAAAATGCTTAAAAATTTAATGGATTAGTCTTGGGCTAGACACAAGTGTAAAACAAAGGGAACTCCCAGTGTTCTCTAAGCCTCGGGAAGATGGCAGTCTAAACTGGTGAACTTGTTTTAAAATCAAAGAGAAATACTAAATTAAAAATATATATACAGACATATCAGTATGTCAACCCGCAATAGCTTTTACAGCGTTTTTAAACACCTAGATATTAGAATATTTCTCATAAAACAAATGGATGTCAAAAATTCTCACTGAGTTTTGTTGCTAGACATGCACCAGCTCCCAGCTACTCTATTTTTTAATGTACCATGTATTTTAAAATAGTATTAGGAAGTTTACTTCCCAAAGAAAGTTTAAGCCAATCATACCTCTTTCATCTTGCCTGAGTCAATAACAAATACAACATCATTGACTGTTAAGCTGGTTTCTGCAATATTAGTAGAAAGAATCTGCAATTAAAAAAAAAAAAAAAAAAAAACACTGTAGTACTTGTAAAAGCAAAGATAAAATAGACCAATATAATAGCTGCTGAAGTGCTCTGATACTTGCTATTTTGCGGATGCCAGAATGTGGAACTTTAAGCACCTTCTTCTGATCAAAAGTCTGCATATTTGAATGAAGCATGAAAACTTGGTATCTAATGCAAGACAAAGAGCACATTTTAAGGATCTTTAAAAGAAACAATAAAAACTCAAGACAACCACAGAAACTAGAGGTTTTACCTGTGAGCATTATCAGCAAACCTCTTGTCATCAAAAAGAATACGGTCCCTCAGCTTAACTATCTCGTCATATCCAGGAAGAAATATTAAAATCGCTCCTAAAAAAGACGTTGGTTTGCAGAGTTAAACAGAAAATATATGTCAATACTGTGTATACTAGCACTTGGAAGGTTTTACCTAATTGGTATTATTGAAAAAAGAGAACAATTCACCAGCAGCTGAATCCACAGCAATCTATTGAGAGTGTGTGTATATACCTACCCGCATCCGAATTACAACAGATGTTATAAAGTAAGTGCATAATCAGGTCCAGATCCACTTTTTCATCATCAAAACTGTGATGATAAGCTTTCAACAGATCTCTGTCCTCTGCATCCAGGTCATTACCACTTGTTTGGACCAGGGAACTTTCATCCAAATTTCCAATTTCCATTGAAGCACTAAAATATACAAACATACAGGCCAGAGTAAAGGTTGTTTGCTTCGGGTATGCATTCAGCCATCAATTCAAAATTAGATCAAGACCAACAAGACTACTCATCTCGAATTTTAATTTTCAAGTATAGCAGAACAGTATCTCACAATACTATTACTGTTCACTAATTTAAGCGTTAGCCCAGCAAAGCATACAACTTCAATTTTTAGCATTAACTTCAACTTTATTATACTTTGTTGAAACAAAACATAAGCAAATGTGACAGAACTCAAAGTATAAAGACACCATTTGTTAAAGGAAAAATATTTAAAAGAAATGTATTTTCCAAAAACTTTCCTACTATAACAGTTAGGCAGGTACTACACTAACAGAAATTACACTAAGAAAAATTGTACTATATGTCTCTACAAAAGTGTAACTAACCTATGACCGTACATTAATAAAAAAACAATTCTTGAATGGCCTAGTGTACATGTTACTCATATAAAGTTTCTTTAATATGGCTATCCCATGTTAACAATATACAGATAAAAACACACAATAGCTTTGTTTCAAAAATAAGCACCTGAAATTAAAATGGTACATGGTATAGATCGATATCTCTTCCGAGCATTTACTGAAGTTACTATAATCACATCCTGCCTAGATATATAATCATGATAGGAAGGTCCGTATCAAGATGATAAACGCTAATAACAAAGAAGTCCTATACCACTAGAACTGTATTTACCTTAAGAGTCGTGCAAACATAATCACTGTGATAATGAATACAAAAAAATGGGTTTGTAACTAACTATACTTAAATATTTCAAAACATTTGAGGCCAGATTTTAAAGCACAAAAGCCAAAAACTGTTCTGATTAAAAGAAGACAAAACACGAATTTTCCTTCACCATGTAATACAACTGTTCCTGCAAAGTAATTACAGCATACCTGTAGGACTCCAACAGATCAACAACCTCTGCCTGTCCAAAATGCTTAGCCCAGTCCAAAGCCATCCTGAAACAATTACATAAAAATCTTCACTGATTTCTCACTTCAAAAGACAAATTTCAATAGCACGTTACATGAGGAGACAACTGAATCCACAGTTTTCCACCAATTTCTGCATTATGTTTTAACCTGTGCTGTTGTTGCCAGATCTGCAACACTTAGAAGTGCATAAACAGGTTTAACGGCTGTGTGATTTTTAGATAACGGCAATTCTTAACCAAGAAAGAATCCCAGTCTTACACAGAAGTCCATGGAAACATGCAGAAGGAAATGAAGAGGAAGAACCACACACCAGCGTGCAGGGTTGAGCCATGCCTTTTTGAAGTACCCTTTACTAGCTCCTTCAAGTCACCCAGAGAAGTCATACCCCGGACAGCTTTCTCCAAAATGTGCAAAAACATTGGGCTTTTTGATGTCGTACGGAACTAAGTGTCCTGCCCACAATGCAGTTCACTCTGTTTTCTTTAAAACTGCATTTCTCCACAAGTTTTTCAAGTGGTAGTACCAAATATCAGACCCCTGGAAAACCAATTCTTACCTTCCCATATTATAACTATTTACTACACTTCCCTGTTAATATGAAGATATAGTTCATGACCACAAAAATCTGAGTGTTTACAGATTCACAAGCATTTTTACATGATGCAACACACAGATACAACACAGCAAAGATCTTTGCATCTGTAATTCTGTAAATTTTAAATCCGATACCAGTTACTCTTAAAATAAGAATCACCAAACATTCTAATTCAATCAAACCAGTGAGAAAATTCCAATTTTTCTTTTACCTAGTGTGTTAAATCAGATTCATTGAAACCAAGAGTGTATATCCCTTATTCAAGACTGTTCAATCAAGATTTCAATTTAGAATTTACAGAAAACTGTGATAACCAGAAGTAAGAAATTGTTTAGACTGTCAAAACCTGTTAGTGCTTCCCGTAGTCTGATAAGTTAACAGATTAGCTTAGATGTTACAGAAATTTCTCTCTCATTTGTACGTTGACAAATAAATCTGTATTTCAGTTTTATCTGTTTGATTTTACCAGCCATTGGATGATCTGCAGTGGATATTTGCTCCCATACTGATGAGTTCTTCTACTTGACTCAGAAAGCCTCTCCCTGAAGCAATCATTAGTGCAGTCACACTGGTTTCACTGTGCCTATAATCAACTGAGAAGTACCAAAACAAAAACAAAAAAGAAATCAGCAAAACTAATACAAATACTGTTACTTTTTCATCTAAACGTAGCATGAATGACTTTCAAAACCCATCCCAAAGACAACCTGTTTCTTCGCTTCATCCCACCGGTCATGTAAATTTGACACTATTTTAGAAGCAAAAAAAGTACAACAAGTAACTATAAAGCTCCTTAATTCTGCCGAGCCTATTTATTTTTTCTATAGACACCAGAATTCAAAGGTAACATCATTTGAAACTGGAGATAAAGTAGCCACAGAAATTAAAATAATTTTAGGGTTGTTTTTTTCTTATGTAGTAAGATGAGAAACCTACCACTGACATTTTCAGTTAAAATGAGATGGAACACCTGAGCGAAGGAATCAACATCTCTATGCAACCAGATGTCAGAAAGACAAGAATCCATTTCTTTTATCAGCCACGGTTCAAGACAATTTGCATCTTTTTCAGTCTGAAGAGAAAAACAGTATTGAAAGATGAATCTCTTCAGAGAGTTGTCTTTATTCTCATATATCAGACATAAAGAATTTGAACTTTTATTTTTCCAAGATGAAACATTCATATATCAGTTAACACATTCATTGTGCTATATGCAAATACTCTAAACAATGGCAGTATGGCCACGCGACCTTAACAAGTTATGTACAACCATCATAACTGAAAAGCATACTTCAGCTAGAGTAGTTCATGCTAATAAAAAAAAAAGTTTTAAAACATGTTAATATCCTTCTCGAAACATTACAGGAGTAGTATCTTTAGAAAACAGTTTTTAAATGAGTAGTAATAATATAACACAGATTTAAACATCCCTTCCAACAAAAGGAAAAGCTTACCATTTGATTAAGTACTGTGTCACCACCATCATCCAACAGATTATACTCTGCAGTTGCGCTTGGGACGGATTTTTGTCTCTGAGAATCCGGTTTTCTATTATTTTCTTGAGCAAAGCACCACTCAGTAAGAGTGCTTTGTTGTTTTTCTTCTAGATCACATAAAGTATTTTAGAAAAAGAGTTTTAGTAGTTTTAATTATCCATTGTTTTCACTTACAAGAAATAGTTATATCAAGTCACAAAATTTAACCTATTTGATCTGTTATTTAATCTAGAACACTGTTACTAGTCCAGGGTAAATTCCACAATTAACGACACTCAAAGTGTGACATTGCAAACATCTGCTAAAAGAACAAGGTAAAAAATACCATTTAGGTGCTTAATCCCTTAAGTCTCCATTATTCCAAGTTAGTGCATTCAAATTAACTTCCTAAGTATTTTCTACACAATTCTCAGTCCAGGTATTTCTCCAGAAGTGAAATACCAGAGACAAGTGATATAGCCCCTGCATGTAACAACTAATTTTTTTGTGTCCAACAACAAGAAACAACAGATGACAGCAGTACCTGATTTTTTTCTCTGCACCTAGATCAGAGCTGAGCACCACAATAACAGTGCAGCTAGGATTAAGTTACAGTTTTGAGTTTTGCCTTTTTTTTTTTTTTAAATACATACTAGGATCATTACTTTCATTCCTCAGGAAAATGTCTCAAATTATGTATCTACCTAATTAATTGAAAGACAGCTATATTAAGTCCAAGTGTGTTAATGTTTTTGGGCTACATAGACCCATGTCTGAAGAATGCCATGAAAAATGTTAATAATAGACACCATTTCTGTGCAAGATGTATAAAATCCTGCCCGCTGATGGCAAGACACTAAGCCCGTCTTGGACTCAGCAACCATTAAATAATAGACTTCTCATTTCTGGGTGAAGTAAGGAGGGGGTC